AATTTTTTAAGACTTTTTAAGGAAATTTTCAATTTTTTTAGGAAAAAATATTTGCTTTTATAAGAATTTTAGATTCTGATAAAATTGTTACTTCTATGAACCCAGAATAAATAATAATCCAGCTGTCCAACAATTTTCCTAGATACATAATTGTACTACAATAAGAACCTTTATACTATCCTTGTCAATTATTTAATCGGCACAATTTCCCCTTCCAACACCAGGAAACTTGGGAACGAAGAATTTTATCAATTTCTATATCGCTTTCTATTGGAAACTTGCAAATGAAAAGCAGGAAGAGAAGCTAATTATCTCGCAGGAAATACACAGAAAACACCGCTACACAGATTAATTAAACATACCTATCTATTCCATAATAAAAATCATTTCGTACCTTGGAAACATCCTTCACGCCAAACACACGAGGATTCTCCTTAGACTCAATCCTTCCGTTCCCAAACCGTTTCACGCCGCCATTTTTGCTTCCATCCGCGTAGACTATGTCGATATAACCCGGTTGCTTCTCCATGTGCTTAGATTCACCTTGATACACCTGCTCCCTGCTAATCAATCCAGGAACGTACCTCTGATCCTTCGCTTTGCTCTCAACATTCTCGGAGGCTGACGTTTCGATATCTTCATGACGCCCTTCCATCCTTCTGTTGCCAAAATTCTCTCTCCTCTGGCTCTGTCGGCCACTTTCTCTATCCTGACCAGCGTAAAGACCTAATCTAGACCTGGCTTGACTCTCCTTCTGCTCATAATTCTTAGAGTTCAATCCAGAATTCATGGCGCCCATGGCGTAGATCAGCTGAACGTCAGAAGGGTACCTTAAATTCTCAACAATTCGAGTTGTTTCTGATTTCGAAAGAACCTTGGGACCCTCCACGTTGAAGGAAACAAAACCAGCCGGATGATGCAGTTTGTGATCGTTTTGGGCACGATCAACAGGCTCCTCTTTCATCTTCTCCGCCTGAATCTTCATTAAAAAGGGATCGTACTGTCTGATCCTCTCAAATTGACTCTCTTGCTCCCTCGGGCTGGCAACCAGTTTACTTTCTCGATTGGTAGCAGAGACTATAGCCTCGAAGGTCTCATTCTGTGTCTTAGGTTCCTTAATAAGCGTATGGAATCTATATCTAATCGAATCCAAATCCCTGAGATCACTGTAGCTCACGTAGCCAGCTTCCAAGTCGCTCAAGTTCGACTTCAGTCTTCCTCGAGCTATATGAATGCTGTCTAGAGTGGATTCGTTTAGTCCAACAATCTCCATGTTGCGTAGAATTATTCTGTAACTGGTGTCTCCTTCAGACTGGTCCACTTTGATCACCGGAACCCGCAGAGGGTCTAATTTCCCTGCTTTGGCAAATCCTCCTGTGAGAAGCTTGGTCCAGAGCTGCTGAGACATCTCTAGCAGGGATCCCTGGCAGTTTGCCATGGCCAGAAGGCCTAGAACCATCACTGCTACCCTGATAAGCTTCGTCATTCTGTGTGCTTATCCTTCCGAACCTTTCTTCGACACTCCAAATGCCTCCAAGTGACTTGAATCTTTGATGAACACTATCTAACCACAAAATCAATCTACAACTTACTGCAACTTACTTCAGAGTAGAACAAATCCAATTAGAAGTGTCTACGCCTCGGTTTTGACCTCCCAGATGTAGATAGGCTTGAACACCAGCAGGATTATAATGGCTACCACGATGAAGAGCAAAAGGAAGCAGAAGACAGCGGCGTACATTAACACTGGCCCACTTGGATGAACGATTACTTGCTGTTCCAGGATGATCAATCGAAGACCTAGTCCCAATAGACGAGATCCCCGATGATCATTACTCTTCCTACTCGAGCCGATGTGCTCGTGCAAAAGTGACGATCGCGAGTGGGTGATGTGTTTGCACGACGGTTTTATACAGCACCGTGGAAGGGCACCGGATCTGGGCCATGGACCAGTGAGTCTAGCGTCGCGTTATTCTAGCTGATCCTTCTAGACGCTTTCTTTCCTCTTCTACGACGTTTCACGGCATCCAATTGCGATTTGCTCCCGTTGCGATGTTTATAGAGGGCAAGGTCCCTCCCCGACCTTAAGTGGAAGAAACTATGGCGGGTCCAGAGCTGCAAATAGTGCGCCAGTAGAGTTGTTCGGTGTTGCGTAATCGCTTGTTCTTAAATGTACATCGCAGCGGGTATGGTACCCGAGTTTAATGGGGAGTAAAGTTGTGCCTTGTCGAGAAGAGAGGACTCATGAAAATGTTGCTGTATGGGCGTCCCGGGTGAAGGTTTTTAGGATATTTAATTTTTGTTTGAAGAATAGTATAACAGTAACTGGTCCAGGTGTACTGTGTCTTTCTCAATTAGTATAATTTTTATGGTTTATTTAAGTGGTTTCTGGTTGCAAACGTTACGCAATAACATAATATGTATATGTAAATGTATACAGGGTGTCCCGTAGCTGGCGGTACAAGCGAGCAGGGGATGATTTTACGTGAAAAACTGAATCGAAAATGTAGAATAAAATTTTTCCATAAAAAGCTTTGTCTTCGAGAAAAATAAGTTTGAAAATTTGTCGAGTACGCGTGCTCTCGGCTTTACGTTTGTACTAACAAACGATACTAATTTCATGAAAAGTATCGATAATACATTTATTACCGATTTCCTTAAATTAAATTTACATTACTAATCGAATTGTTGAAAGCAACGTCTGTTAACCTTTATGTGCTTAACGAGTTATGCCTTTATGTGAAAGCCTTTACCATTCTTTCTTTTAGCTGCAGATTCACACTATTCTCTGCGTAGACTATTTCTTTGCGAAATGTGACATTACCACTGTTTATCAACGTAAAAGTATGAGCAGAAGTAACAGTTTGTAGCGAATATTTAAATTCAATTTTCTCGGAAACATAGCCTCGTACGAAGAAATTTTATTCTACATTTTCGATTCAGTTTTTCATGTAGAATCCCCTTCTGGTCGCTTGTACCGCCAGTTACGGGACACCCTGTGTAATAGTAAATTAGCCTACTAGAAAAAGGTGAGGTTAGGTGTTAATTTCGGGGAAGATTATTCTGAAGGTTTTGATGGTGGATCATGTTGATTAATCTGTAGGGTTTTCATATTTTTATATAGGGTGCTCTTGTTTGCTGCGATATTTAAGTTTATTTGTTCATCTATTTATTGCTGTAGACCTGTTATATTACACAATATGTATTGCAAATAGAAGAGGGAAAAAGGAAAAGTAAATAGAATAAATTAAGGGAAGTAAGAAGAACAGGGAGAAACAGCACACTGAAAGAGAAACCAGAATATTAAAGAAGGAGAACAGTAATAATGTAAAATTCGATTCTAAGTTGCATATAAGTTGTATATTGATAACTTGAAAACAGAAAAGAAGAAATAACACTAATGGTACTAAACGATAAAACGAAGATACAAAATAGCAATAATAAATGAAATCAGATTGAGAATTTTGGTTTTTACATTTATTTAATTTGAGGACTAGTTAGATTCTTTTAGATGGAATTATTTATCAGTACATATGATCAATAGTTAAACGTAGAAAAAAGTAAATGATTTTTAAATAATACATTTTTTACTATGAAAATTTTTCTTCATTTAACAAACCGATGTAGCGTCACGCAATTTTTGTAATCACTCTATACACATACACTTTACAAAAAGCATAATACTCCCAGACCAGATATGTATAAATAGATACAAATATCTTCTTATATAAATCATTTCTTTTTTTAAATACTTTAAAAGTTTGACTGATTTTTAATTAAGAATAGAAATTACTACTAAATTACTGCTTTAACTTGCAAAAAAGAGACTCAATAGGCGTGAAGGAATGACCAGTGCTATAAAAGTGGCGCGAAGCACACATCAGAACGTTAAATTGCGTAATCTATAAAAGGAAGCAGAATAGAAACGACAATGTCAGCGCATTGTCAATCGATGGCACGTTCGCAATTTTCGATGACAAACACTTCGAAATTATTTCGTGATCGAACTTCGTCGTGGCAACAACAATGCCTCTCTACAAATCCTTGATAATACTGTTCGTGACAGGCTGCTTGCCTGCTGTCTTACCCATTTCACAAATACGTAAGTATACTATTTTATTCAAATATTTATTTATTTATTTTCGCGTGTATTGACTCATTTGTGTGACAAAAATATAGATAGAGAACAGACAAAACATCGATAGTTACAAACAAAAAGAAGAAAGAAAAAGAAAAATGAAATGAAATGAGAAATTAAGTTCAATCGTATCGACGGTCGTTGATAAATGAAGAATTAGTTCATTTAAACATCATTGTAGAAGTTTGTACTATTTGTTAAAATTGTGACATAAAAATGAATGCAAAATTTCAAAAAATTATCGAAAGAGGCGATTGAATTTAGTAGTGAATTTTAAGAACACCCGGTGTATAGGAGTTAACGCTGCATCTGGAGCGCGCACATTTAATTCGCGATGAATCGTACAGAAAATCACGCGATACGTGTAGAAAGAATTCAGGTCTAACTCTTAATTCTTGACAATGTTGAAGGCTAATGAACAATGAAAGTACAAAGCTTGATCTTGTTTCTGGTATAGAAAAAGAAACATATCACATTTAAAATCTATTTAACCTTGAATTTGAAGAAATTGAAGAATTGAAACAAATTTGAAGAATTTCTACTTCTAAAAAATATGCAATCTCTATCTTCAGATTTTAAAATAAAAGTACAAATTTTATTTACAACGTTTAAGAATACATAACTTTTTTTTTACGATTATTCGAGTACGCGTTGAATGATTAAAGTGAGAGGGAGGCATAATATTTCAAATTCATTTTTCACATTTATCAGATAAAACAATGAACAATCTTCGCACAATAGTGTCGTGAAGTAATGATAAATTAGCGCGTGGAATGTAAAATGTAATTTGACGATGATTTGATTCCCATTTTCAGCGTCCTTCTTGAAGATATGTCATCGAAGCGATCCACATCTTGGCGAGTGTATAAAGGAGAGTGTGAATTCATTGAAACCATACTTGAAGAATGGAATACAGGTGCTTGGAATTCCGTCGTGTGAACCGTTTCGCTTGGAGGAAATCGACATCGATCAATCTTCCGGGCCAATTTACATTCGCGCCAAGTACAACAACGTGTCCATATTTGGGGGCAGTAATATCATACCTAAGAGCATCAAGTACGTTCTCGCATTCTAATTGACACTTTTCTAACATTTTTCTTTTATACAATAGTTCGATCAATTAACCTGTTAACTCGCTATAGAAATTTCAGTTCTGCACTGATTCAGTCTTGTTTAAATTTTTTCTTAAATTTCATATAAGTAAGAATTTTTCATGTACATATATCGATTATTTTTAAATATATTTTGTATCATCGTAAAGCGAGAAGTTTAAAGTGTTTCACTTATCGATCCAGAGAGACGCGTCGTTTAATTCAATCAATTTAATAATTATTATTCTTGTGTAAAAAGTGAATTGAGAAATTTCGCATTTGCCTTGAAAAAAACGAATTAACTTGTCTCTCCATAATCGTAGCTGCATGCACGAGGACTGTTTTCGAAACTGGATCGATGATCGACCCAGTTCAGAGACTGAAATTGCAATGGTTTATTCCTGTTTATACAATATTTTTAGCTCTCTCGATGGGAGTGGTTGTTTTGGGTAATGAATTTCAGATATTGCGCCATTGAATATGTACATAATATATACTCGTTATTTCGGCTTCACAGTTAAGAAGCTTGGACTTGGTTTATATTTACCTACCCTAACTGTACATCGCTAACTTAATCCATTCTAACTAATTTCTTTTATTATTATCCTACTTATCGATCTACTCTTTTCTATCTATTTCTTATTACGCTATTGCACATCTTTCTGTTTTCTCCTTTTTTCTTTTTTTTATCTTTTTGAGACAATCCGCTTATCCTTTCTTCCGCTCACTACATCCTCTATCCTAACTCTTCTATCTATCTCCCTAAAATCCCTTACTACTGGATGCTTCAACGTTCCCAACCTCTCTCAGCATAAATCGCATTTCCTTGCTTCCTGATTCTTTCAGTGCCTGTTTTGCATTTTTGTATTCCCACACCTCGCCTGTACTAATAATAATTGTTGACTATCGTCTCTTCCTTTACTCACAAGGGAACATATCGAAGCCAGACACGTTGATTTTGATGAAACTCGTGTGAGAGATAGTTCACGGGAAAATATTTCACAGGTATTATTTTTAGCGACAATCGTCGATATTGAAGGAGTGAAAAAGACCTGAAAGTTGAGGGTGGAGCACGTGTTTTCTGGAATATCTCGAGAATTAGGGGTTTTGGAAAAAGGCTTCTTTCTTTAATTGCGTGTTTTGGAATGGGGGATTCAATCACATAATGAATTTTGTATTCAAATTTTTTTAAATATATTATTCGAGGACTTTTAACTAACTTCGAGCATTTTCTTCATGCTTTTAACCCTCACTCGTCCCTCGTGTCAATTTGACACACTTTTCCAGTAAAAAATTGTATCATTCGGTTATTTGTAGAAAAGATTTTTTGTTTATTTTCTGTATTTAATAAAAGAATTTACAAAATTAATTATTTATCTTTTCATTTAATTGATTTTATAC